GTCATACTAATGTCTTGACCTCCGGCCATTCTAAAAGAAGGACAAAAATGACCGTATAAGAGGTAATATTGGTTTATAGGAGGGTAATCCACAACCTATAAAACGCCTTAAGAATTTCAAGAAGAGGGATAATCCACTCTCTCCAAGAAGAATAAGACTCCAATATTGTAACAGAAGAAGTATCAGTTTAGAGGAGGGTAATCCGCAACCTCTAAAAAATGCTAGTATACCTTCAAGTAGAGGGGTAATCCACACTCTACTAAGAAAGAACTAGCTCTGATATCTCAAGTTAGTGTAGTCTCGACAAACTGTCACGGACACAAAATACAGACTTGAAATCTAACAAGAAGTTCAAGAAAAAGTGGCAAAACTAGATTAAACAGATGAGTACAAGAACAACACCAGAAAGGTGAGCTAGAACTCCAAGAGATGTGTTGTTGAGACTGAAGAACTCTTCAGCCTCGATCCCTATATATACTCCTACTTAGGAAGCTTCTCGAGCTACTTCTATTAACTAGGAAGCTTCTAGAAGGTTCCAAAGGCTTCTTTTCTAGAAGGTTCTAAAAACTTCTCGAGCTACTTTTATTAACTAGGAAGCTTCTAGAAAGTTCCAGGGGATTCCTTTCTAGAAGCTTCTAGAAACTTTTCTTCTAGAAGGTTCCAGAGACTTCCTTTCTAGAAGCTTCTAGAAACTTCTCTCTAAAAGGTTCCAGAGGCTTCTCTTCTAGAAAGTTTCAGAGGCTTGTTTTCTAGAAGGTTCTAGAAACTTCTCTCTAGAAAGTTCTAAGGAATATGTCCCTAACAGATAAGAGTGAAGCCCTCTTCACTCTTATCAAATCCTTTCTTGCTTCTAGTCTAGTTTCAATGGTCTCTAGTTTTCTTATCTTTTGGCAATAGTCATTCTAGTTTCTTTCTTAATATATATATCGAGTTATTTCTATTTTATTATATTTTTTTGAGAGAAGTCTCACTTGTTTATTTATTTTTATCAAGTTCTTGTCTTTGACACATAGAAGATAAAATTCTATCTTTTTTGAATCTTATTTCTTTTATAGTGAAGATTTGCTATTCTTTATCTCGATTTTGACAGATGATGTTAATAAAAAGCCTCAACTCTCTTTATTGTATTTGCAAGATTCTTTGTTGGCTTCCATGTACATTTATTAATATCATATTTGTACTAATAAATAATATATTTCAATCTATTTCAGCGTTGCCCTGAATCTAAGTCTTCTTCCACCTCAAATTCTTGATTATTATTTATTTTTATAAGAGAAGGTGGCATTTGTCTTCTTCTTAAGATATTCACTATCTAATTTGGCTTAAGAAGAGACAAGTGAAATATGACGTGGACCTTCATAGACTCCAATGTCATGATATATCATTATTATATGGTGAAAGATGATAATATGGATCTTATTATAGAAGAGCCAAGTTAAAAGATAAAATACAAAAACATGGATAAAAGATGGAAAGGTAGTAAAATTTTTAATAGTAACGCTGTTTTTTTAGAAAAGTGACTTTTATTTATTTTGTAGAGCCATAAATAATACATAATAAGATAGATTGAAAAAATAAATGATATAAGTATCTTTAGGAAGAAATTAAGAATAAATTCTAGCTAAAATTACCTAAAAAAACTAGATGTTGATACTCAAAGAGGGTTGGTTATGAATCAGGGTCAAGACCAGAGCCTGAGGTACAAAACCACGCCTTAACAATGATTTTGGGATTTTTTTTTTAGAAATTAGAGAATAGGAACTAAGAGCTAACTTAATAAAAGAAATTTAAGTATTGATTTGATGTGTTTTGAATATGTATTGAATTTGTAAGAGCTTTGCAAAGTTGGGATTTGTTATAGGTGATTCTAGATTTGTGAAATAAAAAAGGTGATAATTTTTGGAGAATTTCATAAGTTTGGAAATAGATCTGTAAGTGAAATTTTGAGGATTTGCAGATATATATATATATATATATATATATATATATGTGTGTGTGTGTGTGTGTTCAATATATGCTATAGATTTTAGCTTGATCAAAAGGATGGATCAAGGATTATTGAGGTTTAAAAGGGTCAGGGTCTCAAGAAGTAGAGTTTTAGATCTAGTGACGGTTTCTAAGATTTCTTACAATCTATTAGTTGGATTGGAGTGAAAATTATGTGTATGAGTAATAGACTTATTTTTCTTTGTATATGAGAAATTTGAAATCAATCGAATAGTTTAATAAGGATATATTGATGCTAGAAATTTAACATTCAGATTGAAGAAGGAAGCCTACCAATATCCCAACAAATATTAGGATTGATCTTCTTTTTGATGAGTTTGATCTTCTTAAAAAAAATTGTACTTATAATCAATATTATTCTGAAGAAGTTTGCAAAATTTGAGTTAAAATCAATAGTTCATTCATTATTTATTGAGGTTTAGATCTGCTATAGGAATTACTTGGATTATTTAGGATTTTGTTAGGATATGTTTAGAATTTGATTAGGATTTAATTAAGGTTTTTTTAGGATTTTTTAGGATTTGGTTAGGTTTTGTTAGAATTTGACTAGAGTTTGGTTAGGATTTGTGAGTGTAAATTTTATTCCTCAATCCCAATTATAAAATGGCCTCAATTAAGAGTTACTTGTAAATCAATAAATAAATCAATAATTTAGTTAAGATTTATTTATGATTTGATTAGGATTTGATTAGTATTTGATTAGAGTTTATTTAGGATTGACTAGGATTTGATTAGGATTTGGTTAGAGTTTGACTAGAATATGGTTAGGATTTGACTAGGATTTGGTTAGGATTTGATTAAGATTTGATTAGGATTTGATTATAGTTTGATTAGATTTTGTTTAGGATTTGATTAGAATTTGGTTAGGATTTGATTAAAATTTGATTAGGATTTGATTAGGATTTATTTAGAATTTGGTTAAGATTTGACTAGGATTTAACTAAGGTTTTTATTTTAATATTTTATTAAGTTTTTTATTTTATTATATTTTTGAATTCTTATGTTATTTCTTTATGATTTCTTTAATGAGTCTTTAAGAATACTTTGTGTTTCTTACATAATTTGTTTGTAATTTACAATGAATTTGATTGATGTTTGATTATACTTACTAATTTTTAATTATAATTTGTTTAAGAATCTATTAGAGTTGTTAGGACTTATTTTTGCAATTTTTCTTCTATCTTCCATAGCTAGGTGCTCGATGCATTCTCAAGCCAAATGCCACGTAATACGACACTAGTAGATGTAATCAATAAGCAACAAGATTGTCTTATTTATAAGTAGGAAAAGGTCTAAGCTTATGATATTCCAACTTGTTGCAAAGATGAATATTCTTGATATTACAACAAAGTAATTATATCTTATCATCTACATTGAATTATAATTGTTTCTTGGAATAGGCATCTGTATTGATCTTTTGCTATTCTTCAGCTCTTTTCAATTGTGCCTTCATTTTTGCATATAACTTTGATAAATAATTTACCAAATCTATTAATACATGATTATCAATTTTTGAAAAGTCAAAATTATTAAATCATAGATCATAACCATAATTGGCAAAAAAAAGTGTTTATTAACTAGAAGAGTATAATGAATTATTATACGTAAACTTTACCAATGGTAAAAGAATTGTTCAATAACTTTCATGATAATTGATGGTATACCTCAAATATTACTTTAAAACTTGATTCACCCATTTTGTTTGTCCATCAATTTGAAGATATAATTTGAAGAGAGTTTTATATCTATTTTTAGAATCTTAAAAAGAATTCTCTAAAATCTTAATATAAATTGAATCTTCATATCTGATATAATATCTTTAAACAATCCATGATAGCGATAGATGATGTTAAGAAAAAGCTTAGACATTTCTTTACTTGTGATAGATTTTATACATGGTACAAAATATGCCATCTTAGTAAAATAATCTACTATCATAAATATAGAATCATATAAACTTGAAATTAGAAGATCCATGATAAAATCTATAAAAATGGAAGACTATGGTTGTTTTAAAATAGGCAATGGCTGAAAAAGTCCATAAGGTCAATGGCAAAGAATTTTGGATCTTAAACAAATATCAAATGATTGTACAAAGTCTTTGACTGCCTTCCATATTTGAGGCCACCAAAAATCTCTTGATATTAGTTCAAAAGTATTGTTGTATAAAAAATGTCTGGTTTCTAGAAAGTCTTGACGAGCTTGAAGAATATATGATCATATCTCACCTTCTAGAATGTATAATTATCCTTCAAAATAAAATAAATTATTTTTAAACTTGAACTTGGAAGTATTATGAGATTTAAAAAAATTATTCTTGATATCATGAACAAGAAGATCAAAAGACATACTTGATTGAATTTGCTTGACAAAGGTTGAAACAATAGTTAATTTTAATTTTATTGCTTGAAGGTGAAAATGCTCTTGCTTCAAGAAAATCATTCTTTATTGATCAAAAAATGCATCTCTTTTTTTTGGTGCAAGATAAGAATGTCTAAAAAGGACATTTAACAAAATTTATTTATTTTTGGATCAATAAGTAATCTTGATAAAGACATACTCCAAAGAGCTTGGCAATGATTCAAAATACATACTAACATGAAGTACTTAAGGTTCTTGTGATCTGTATATACAATGATTAAACTCAAGGCACCTCCTAAATAATGAATCTATGATTACAAAAAGCTCTTTGTCATAGATATCATAATTAATCTCAATTGCTAAAAAAATTCTGGAATAGAAAGCTATTGGATGAAGGAAAACAAATAGTTTGAAGATCAAGAATCATATTACATGTAGTAGTTGCTACATACACTATAAACTTGAATTCGGAGGCTAAGGCTCAGAGGAGAGGCGACGTTCCCAACCACCGTTCACACGTCCCCAGATTTGTTCGAACGTGGCAGAAGATAAAGATGCTGTTGTAGATGAACAGAAATAACAAAGTGATGAATGAAGAATCGCAACGAATGGTGGTCGTCGTCGGTCCGAGCGGATGAACTCCGGATTCCAATGCACATGGACCGTCCTGGCGATGGCGGATTAGGGCAATCGGGTGAGTTGTTTCGTCTCGGGCAAGGCAGGTTCGAATTCATTCAATTGCTGCTTTACGATATTGAAGCTCTGTGATATCAGGATTTTGTGTTGTGGTTTTTTTATTTGATAGAAGGCGATTGTGGATTATTTGTAAACCTTTGAGCGCTTTGAACCTCTAATCGGATTTTGAAGGAAGTTTTGGCACATTTTGTCTGTCACAGCAAACTTTTATCTTGGAGTTCATCGTTTTGTTTTGCGTTGGCACATCTCAAGACTTTGTAAGAAGCTTTTGGAGGAGTTATGTCTCGCCGATATGATAGTCGGACGACGATTTTCTCTCCGGAGGGTCGGCTGTACCAGGTGGAATACGCTATGGAAGCAATTAGCAACGCGGGTGCGGCAATCGGGGTGTTGGCCAAGGACGGAGTAGTGCTCGCAGCGGAGAAGCGTGTCACCTCTAAGCTTCTGGCAACTCTAAAATCCACGGAGAAAATGTACAAGATCGACGACCATGTTGCTTGCGCTGTTGCGGGCATAATGGCCGATGCCAACATCCTTATTAACACCGCGCGATTGTCCGCGCAGAGGTACACGCTTGCTTACCAGGAACCGATGCCCGTGGAGCAGCTCGTGCAGTCTCTGTGTGACACCAAGCAGGGTTACACTCAGTTCGGTGGGCTTCGTCCGTTCGGAGTATCGTTCTTGTTTGCAGGATATGACAAGAACTTCGGTTTTCAATTGTATATGTCGGATCCGAGTGGAAATTATGGGGGTTGGAAGGCCGGTGCTATTGGGGCTAACAATCAAGCGGCTCAGTCGATGTTGAAGCAGGATTACAAGGACGATATGACGAGGGAGCAAGCCGTGCAATTGGCCCTGAAGGTATTGAGCAAGACGATGGACAGCACGTCACTGTCGGCCGAGAAGCTGGAGCTTGCAGAGATCAGTTTGAGCCCGGATGGTGTGTTCCAGTACCAGGTTTGCAGTCCAGAGAATCTGAATAAGTTGCTGTTGAAGCATGGTATCACACAAGCAGCTGAGGAGAGTAATTAGGTATTGTGGCAATTTTCCATAGGCAGGTCTATGAGGACATCTAAACAGTGACAGCCTTGAACTTTTCTGAAATAATAGACTTCTCCGTCAAACTTACGGAATTGATTGGGCCAGCCATGCTTGATCGACTTGAATTCTTGTTGCTACTCTGATTGGACAAATTTCTGTCACCATCTTTTGTAAAGAGTAATATAGGTCAACTTTCCGTTTCAATTGACATTCATTTTTATGCTGAGTACATTTGTCAAGCACAGAGTGTTGTTAGATATACTAGGTTGGTTTATTATCATCACGCGGTTAATTCGAGTATCAATCTTCGAGCGGGATATAAAGAATATGGTAAGACTGGTCATGTGGATGCTCACAGCTACATCAGTGTACGAGTTTTCCACAGTTTAATAATCTGACTACGGGTCTTTATGCTTTCCTGTATAAAAGCTAGGATATTGCCGTAAGAAATCCACTAACCACTCCTTTCACTGTAGGATGGTAGGATAAGTAAATCACATCCAATCCTATCCTTTCCATCTGGAACCCTATGATTCGACCCATTTTATAACGCTTTTGTTTTGAGTACCAATGTGTATGCTAACTTTGCATTCATAGCCGTGAAAGAGACTTGAAGGTGTGATCCTGAAGGTTAGGTGTTGAAATAAGAACAGCACAAGTAGTATGGATTGTTGAGAAAATGCAATTCATGAATTGGGGATTACTTGTCAATATCACACAATTGTGCATGTTAACCCCAATAATGAATTCGTACTTTTTGACTTGAAGGATGAGGTTATTAATAGTACACTTATCAACACACAGTCCCAGTCTAAATGTCTACGTACTTGAATCCAAGTAATACGTGCTTCGTTGTAAAATCTCTTAGAATCCAGACTCAATTTGGATGTTCGGAAGGAAGGGTATCATTTTCTTCATGCCCTGTCAAGCTCATCTTCCAAGGGTGTCGTTCCGCTTACGAAGAATCCAAAAAGCATGTTTCCAGTGTTGCGCTACTCTGCATGTCCAGTCCTGCACAATCCAATTATATAAATTTACATAGATATCGAGATCGGGGTCTAGTAGTGACATCGCTGCATTCAAATCTTTGGAGATGTTGGAGAATCATTGTGGAAAGGGATAATTGTCTCATGGCAGTGAAGGACACAACGTCTGAACATTGGGTTCAACTCTTTCTAATGAATTGGAAGTGGTCAGCATTCTAAAACAACTGAAGTGTGATTTTGATGGAAATAGAATCAGATTATCTTCCTAGGTTCTCGGAATGACAATTTTCAAGGCACATTTTAGCTTGTGCTTCTGAGCTGCAAAGTGCAACCTCTGTAGGTGCTGGAAACCTTCAGACATGGTTATGAGCTTCTTAATACTTAATTACATCTTGTCTGCAATTCCATCTTAATGACGCTTGCCGTGTTGCTTAAAGCCCTGAGGAAAGCTTAACTGAAGAGATTAGGGAGTTGTCTAACGTGTACAACTCTCTAATCCCTTTCTATATTTAGGTCTCATCAGATTTTTGATTTATTGAGCTAGTTACTAATCAAGTGGTGAAAGCTTAATCCTGTGCAGATTAGAAGCACTGCTACGGTCCAATTGATTGTGGACTTTCAGTCCCGGTTCCCCACAGATTAAACTGAGATATGAAAGCAAAGTGGAGCAGGCGTAAAACCTCTAATAGATGCTTGGAAAACCTACACCTTGGAATAGTTGTTTCTTCGTCAATGAAGGATTCTGCTGGAGGTTAGCTACACTGATGTGACTGAAACTTCACCAGATATTGACTGGGTTAGGCAGTATGCACAAGCATGGTTTAACCAGCTCCTTGAATTGCGTATACTACGAAAATGATGGGTCTGAAGAACTCGAAGCGCCATGATCCTTCGTTCCTTTCATGTGCTGATGACGTCAACAATAAAACCTGAGCTGTGATCCCCTGTGCGTGGCCATCGATCTATGTATTCTACCCAGGAGAAAAATTCACGCAACTTATTGATAAATGCAGTTGAAGTTTACAAGTAACCGAGAATTAACTCCAGCTGCATTTCAGGCAATTCCTTCCAATACTGAAGTAAATTGTGAATAGGAAATGTGAGAGACAAGCACAAGAGATTAACATTTCAATCGTCAAAACTTTATTTTCACTTAATCAACTAGAGTACTAATCTCTGTTTGCCGGAGATGCTTCCAAAATGATGTGTTTAAAAAAGGGGGGGCAATATAAGTTGAAGTGCACAAGAGATGTCTACAAAGCGTAAGATTAACTACAGTTCTGCAAGTCTTTTGTATTCAACGACATAGACTTTCATCATGGAGTATTACAGACTGTCAAAGACATATTATTAAGATTGTTAAATAACTATGCACTCTCACAATGCCTGCCATCTCTTTCTGAAAATCCAATTTTGTAAATAGAATTTTGTAAATAGAATTTCGTAAAGGTCTTGCTTTCTTTTCATCTTTCTTTCAGAAGTGTTAGTTCAAAAGTATAACATATTGAAAAATCTCAAAACACTTTATTCTTAAAGAACATCAACTTATGTTGATTTGTGGAAACGGGATATATATTTAAGTACAATCATTATTAAAAATTAATACATTCATCTTCGACACTTTTTCTACAAAACTTAGATGTATTAAATATAGATATATGTACATAATTATTTGTTTATTTATTTGCAAACATTTTTAACAAGATTGCAATTGTTTCACTGTCAGAATCGCAAGAAGCTCAACAACAAAAAATTTATACATCTAATGGTAGTGGGGCCAGAGGATTCAGTAACGACAGGATGTAGGAAGCACTCGACAAGTGAAAAATCCTTCAGTCCTCCTTCCCAGCTCTTCCTGCACTATGATCTCGAGCCGCCAGGCTTTACACGACAATTGGTTTCACCAAGCAATTCCGTGAGCAGAAGGTGCTTACATTCACATCCGATATCCATTCTGCTGGCAGATACGATACTCTACACAATTCAGAGAGCAACGTTACAGAAAACAAGACAACGATGATTGTATCTATTCCTCCTGCATCATCACAAACCAGTTGGTGGTGAAGACCACCGTTCGACAGTATTTGCATTAAAATTTGCAAGCAACGGACCCTGTCAGGGAACCCTGTCGGTACACATTCGCATGTCCAAGGTGTAATCATTACCCACAAGCAGAGTATTAAATAGGTATACCATGGACAGCACAATGCAAATTGCGTCAGAGAAGTGAGAAAAACCAACAGGTAGAGAGAGATAGAGAGAGAGAGAGAGGGTAACATTACTGATGAAGGTAAGGTATGAGACCCACAAACTGGAAACAACCAGAGAATATCAGTTAGGGAGTGATAAGAAATTTAAAAGTTCCTTTCATGACTCAAGCTCGAGTCTGTGTCTGGAGTGAGATAAGCCATTCATGTTCTGAATGAGACCACATGAGGGTGGTCAATTGCGCGCACGTTTGCCCACAAAAAGATTACACGAGAAGACTCCAGTCACAAACAAGTGGCCATGACCTGCTTCTTGGATATCTACGCGACCAAACAGCAGTCTGAAACTACCACCCAATTGAAAAGCAATCAGAAGAAGACTACCATATAAGAATGTTAATCACTTGCACTGTTCGGACTGGTACACATCGTATATCTTTTATAGCATCAAAATATTATATGTACAAAAACGACGGCACCTACAATAGAGCAACCTCTCTATTGAAGATCCAGCTGAAGCTTCCCCTCTTAGGACCCTTCTTGACTTTCGCTTGGGCACGTTCATCGAGTCTTCTGATACGAGGAGGCAGTGAGCACACATATTGTTGCGCAGCCAGCGCTTCTTCCGAGAGCCCTGTAATACTGGAAACATTCCACCTCTTCACCAAGTGCTCCATGATGTCCGCATAATCTCGGGCAGTGTAAACACCTGTTCTTTGAGCAACAAGTGAAAAGTCATCGAAAAGATGATCGTTTTGACCATCATACATTAGATGCGCTGGCATGGAAATCTTCTTTCTCATCATATCTGCGAAGGCAAGCATGGCACCATCCGGGTCTATCTCAAATAACTTCTCTACGATCTTGGTGTACGCGTTCTCGTGCCTTCTTTCATCAGCGGCAATGATTCCGCAAATAGTTGCGAGCTTCGCATCTCCATGTTCCTTGGCGTGCCGAGCAGTGTTACCATGTGAAATGAATGTTGCCCTTTCCTGGAAGGAGGTGTAAACGAAACCCAAGTAGGGATTGTTCTCTGTTTGAGGGTCCTGCAATCGCACAGAAACAACGATCAATTGATGGGCAGGATAGAATTGCGAGTCATTTCTAAGATGAAAATGCGACCAACTATTCTAGTTTTTTTCATTAACCCACAGTCTCAGAACTTCCGTCATCGCCCTTGTAGGGAGAACACGTCGAAAAGCTCAAAAGACCAGTAAAAAGCAAAACTCTCCAAATGATTGTATCCCCAAATCTAGAGTCGGCTATACTGTCTGAACCAAGTCGAATAGCTGGTTACAAAGCCCATTCAAGCAGGTTTCTACAAAAATATTTTGGGGCTCCCACACTGAAATCCCAAAGATTCCAACTCTTGCTGCAATAACAGAACCTGTAAAATTTATCAGTCTAATATGTCCAACACTACAGCCTAGAGGTGAAAGAAACGCTCACCATGCCAGATCCAATAAGGTACTGGATAGTTTTCTCAATGCTTTTCATGTCCACCCGGCCAGTCAAGTATAAATATTTATTTAAAAGATCTCCGTGGCGATTCTCTTCTGCAGTCCATGCACGGGTCCAGACACCCCAAGGAGTGGGACTGGCACCGGTTTCATCCCGACTCCCATCCAATGTGTTCAGCATAGTTTGATACGTAGGCAGAGCCTCTTCGGTGATCATGTCTCCGACCAAACACACTAAATAGTCATCAGACAAGCATGCTGCTCTCTCTCGAAGCTCTTTGACTTGGTCTAAGAAGTCCTCAGCGGAGGGCTCTGGAAGAAAATCCTGTGGTTGCCAGCACTTCTCTACAGGCTTTAAGTAAGGCAGGAGAGTCTCGGAGGCCCAGCCTTCAAGGGACTTGAACATTTCCAACTTCTCTGGTGAGATGGAGTGCATAACTTTGGAGTGCTTCTCCGTTGGTCGCTTACTTATAGGTGCACCTCTGTAACCAACCAAGTAATGAGAATTTTAGAATGTAAATATGTAAATTTTTACCGAAAAAAAAAAGCTCTTGCCGCATGTTAGAATAATAGCCAAGCTACCGCTACAGTATGCGGTAGTGCAGAGACCGCACAGGAGGGTGACAGCAGAGGCGCTGAGTATCTTTGTATGCGCCGGCAGCCGGTCCGACCCATGCACGGAGCAGTCTATCCAATTCATTTCTGTTGCATTCAGATTACAGTTTCAACCAAACCCAGAGGCAAGAACTACGAGTGCTTTTAAGTTTCTGACAAATAAATATTGTGAATGTGGTGCTTACTTTGTTTTAGGGGGCAGAGTAGCAGTCATAAATACTTCCAATGGACCAACATTCCCTGTTCGTCTAACTAAGTTCAAATTCACATTCAACTTCTGGCCCCTCAATGTTGAAGTCAGCGAAGCGGTTGTTGAGGTGGCACCTCGCAATCCGTTAACTGCCGCGAACTCCATCGGTATAGCCGCCATCTCAAGGAACTCTAGTTATACCTATTCACCCCAAAAAATTCATTGACCTGCAAGAAAAAACCACCTTAGAACTTCAATCGCAGTTGATTACCTATCTTAAATTAGCATAGATTCTCAACTGGCTCGTGATTAGGATATACATTACGACTCAGATGGCACTTCCAGAATTTCGATTCTCTGAAAAAGTCGTGAGAAAAAAGCTTTCACAAAGCAAAACTCGTAGATTCTTGGCATGATCCGCTGTACATCTACTTTCGTATCGATCCTTCAATGATTCTCGGAAGAGTAAGTCCCATACAATGAGCGCTAAGAAGTATAGACCGCCGCCACTACTATCAACTGCTTTAGGATGCAATCTATTTAGATTCAGACCGCAAACTCGAAGGATTGCATGCGGACATATCGACAGGGATACCAGAGGCCGCGAAAGCTGCGTCCAGGATGGCCTGTCAAGGAAACAATCGCTACTACAGTTGCGACAGTAAATCTATCAATATTGACCAACTACTAATGCTTGCAGTACGACACACTCCGCAATCGAAGGTGGGAAAAAAGTTCACGAAAGGATGCATCGATCCAAACACATGAAGTGACCCGCAACCAAAAACCGAGTTCAACACCCAACATTGGCAGGCACCCGTTCTCCAATCAACACATTGCCTGCACACTTCAGGGGAGCGATAGAAAAAGGAAAAATAAAACCAGGGCACAGACGAACAGTTTACAGTCGCCAGCACGGGGACAGCGCTAACGACGCACGAGTACCTCCGATAAGTAGATATTAATAAAAGCAGCACATGTATGACGCAAGAGAAACCTGAGGAACCCGCTGTTCCAAAGAAACAAGCGCAAAACCCATCTTTGAAGGAACAGCTACTACAAAATCACCACATCACGACATTCGAACATCAACACATTACCGCACTCTACACGACCACTGCACCACCGCCTCCCAAACAGGCTCGTACAACAACAAAGTCCTCCGAGCTGGGCGAACTGTACGCACTCAAAATAACTGCAATGACCTCCAGAAGCCAAGAAAAGCGAACTCCAAGATTCGCTTCCGAGAGGAGCCAACGCGCGCACATCAATGACGAAACACCGCAGACTGCGACTGATCCCGGAAACCAAGAGGAACCCAACTCAGATCTAGAGCTTACCGATACACAGCGAGTGTGGAGCGAGAAGAGAGAGGGAAGACAGTGTGGAATCCGCAGATGCGTTGCAGGAGGGCAACAGCTGTGAAACTCGTTCAGAAGGCGAGAGAGTTGCAGGACCCGTAAGCTTAGCAGGTGTCTGTTTACACAATTCTAAGCTACCGGGGTGGTCTAAACTTAGGGCGAGAATCCCAACCGATGCTGTCAACCTTTGTTGCACAACTTTCATCCTCTCCTTCTTTAGTTTTTACTCCTCCTCTTCTTCTGCTGCTGTTCCGCTCTTTCCTACTCCGGTTCTGTTACTTCTATTTCAGTCTTACGTGTCTTTATTTGACCGTCTTCAGTGTATCACCATACTTTTAACAGGACGAGTAACTACGAAGATGCAGTGATAGAGAAAGAAACACAACATGACTGAGTCTGTAATTCCTTCAGATTGTTTCCTTTTCTTTCTTCTGTCATGTTGTTACTGTTATCGTTGTTATCGTTGTTGCTGTTATTGATGATGCCAAAGTATGATCGAAGCTTGCGATGAATCACATCAGAGGATACTTTAAGAACCCATAATACAAAATGGGGCTGCTGTATCTTTGGATGCACCACTTCGAATACAACTTAACATTTAAGAAGCCTTTGTAGCAGCAAGATCTTCTGCGAAACAACAATAAAAACAATAATAAAAACTTCACGACGAATAATCCTGCACGGAAAATTGTAAAAAGGGGTTTGTGTGACGGATTTTGTGTGGGTGATGATTAAGGATCATGAACGAGGCAAACTTCTACGCTAAATTATTGCACTCTTACTTATCTTTCCACATCGAGAGACAATCTTACCGGTTGGTTTTCTTCCAGCGTCACAGTCCTGGTCCAGACATTTCCAGGCTTTGAATGTGTTCTGTCAAGGCTTAGTATGGACAGTAGAATAATGTGAGAAACAAGAGCTGGAGGAGGCAGGGATTTGAAGGTCATTTCCAATATAACCATCAACACTGAGCAACACATCTCCGTTTAGTTAATGCATTGAGAGCGAGGGAAAAGAGTCTCTCAGCGAGTATGAGGTGCCATCATGTTATCTTTCCTCTTGTCTTCCCCCATTGAAATGACCTAAAAAGGTGTGGTCAAAAGAAATCGTGCGATGATGGCCACAAGCAAAGGTCCTGAACCCTACAAGAGAAAAGAACACCGTGGAAAGATGTAAAACGTGGAAGAAATGTAAAACAAGGAACAGAAAACAAGTAACGAAGGGTTGGGCAGATTTGTTAGGGCGAGATTCTCAAAGCGAACTTTCAGAAGAGCCACGCATGAGAGATCCTGCTTCACGAAGCTCGAGAACGGGAGCTTGCAGCAAGTGGCAACTGAAATGTGGACGTCAGGATGAAAGGCTGACCACTTCGACGAGGGCCCCATCCTACGAGGTCACGATGAAACTGTTTCATCACCGAAACTCGTTACCACCGGCGAGTCAGCCAAGTCGGACTCATCGATGCTGTGTCAGTCTCCTTTGCTTTTTATGCTAATAAACTGTTAAACATGGAAATCTGACGGGGAAATTCGCACGACCACCCCATGTCCTATCCCTTTCACTTGAACAATCAGCAATACGCTCCTCCTTATTTTTTCTTTAGTTTAGAAAGACCGACGTTGGAATTGGCATTAGCTGAGTCTGCGAAGAACTGGAAGGAATATCCCGCCCACATGCGACAAAGTTTTTCATCACATGTAATCTCGATAAATTGGTTATCACAAACATAATTCTTGGTTGAATTCCAACCATCCTGGTTACGACCAAATTCTAGAACCTGAGATATTGGTCTCCGCAAAACCTATGGATTTCAGTGTGAGTCAACGTGGAATTGATGTAGAAATTTTGCCCTAAAAAGAAGCATGAAACAATTTCATTTGCATACAATCAGAGTCAAACCCTCGTCGTAAATCTTGCGTGGGATACCTGCCACACACCGTCTTTTAATGCAAACCTCCTGGAGCAGGGAGAAGTGCTACAACCGACTTAAATGATCGGCTGGGCTTCGATCGCACTCTGATTGCGGCAGCACTAGGGCCAATACTTTCCTGAATACAAAAAGAGCTCAGCTTCTCATCGGTAGGTACAGGATTTCTAGAGTGATCTACTGGCGCCGTCTTTTATTGGTTGGTAGTACACAGATGTCCCCAGCCCAAAGTGGTGGCTCCTGTTGGTTTGCCCTGTTGAGGTCCAAAGGTGTGCACCTGATAGGTGTTGCAGGATCTCGCCATCTATCACTAATACCTTTATGCTCTTAAGGCACTGTAGGGAATTGCCCTGGAGGCTCTCACTTGGTACACACAATTATGCGATTCCGGTACAACGCAGTGTGCGTTTGTATCGGTTAACCACCTTCACTGAGCGGTTATTCTTTTGACCACCTCGCCTCAAATTACGTTTCCTCCACTCAGGGGAACTGCATGAGCACAGCTCGACCACTCGATTGGATAATGTTTTTTCGGAATTTATCCCACAATTTGTGACTCTTCGGGTGAAGCGTATAGCATGCCGGATTAGAGGAGACTTCCACAAAACTATGAGTGATGCGAATGGAATTGAACTATGTCTGCGATATTCATTGAGAAGAAACGTAAATGGTTAAGGAAAAAACTCTCATCTCTGAGCCCATCTTCTAGATCAACAATTCCTGTCACGGCTCTAGAGGCTCGTCACTAAAACTGGATATTGGAGTTCACATGCAGCTCCATTAGAATGATCAGAATGAAACTATGTTGTGGACTGGAATTAGTGATTTACGAGTTAATCATGGTTCTCCATTGTCAAAGGAGCAGCAAAATTACGTAAGATAACCGTCACGCTTTGAGGTCGTTTCTGCAAACATCTACGGGATTTTACTGTTCTTTGCTAGAAAGTTTTGCATGGTAAGCTTAAATGCAACAGAGCCGAGAAAATATTATTGGGGAGTCAACACAGTGTAATCTGAACATATCTGGGCTGAAGAAACTCACAGTGTGGAGAACTGAAAGCTTTGTGTCCCACAAAGGTTTCGCTTTATGGAATTTGTGGTGTATGCAACCGTCCGAAGCATGATGAGTATGACCTCGGCGGTATCAACCTTTGACAGTAATTAGTTGCAGATTTCTAAATGCATAGCACGCATGAACCTTCTAGATATGTCGTAGACAACTATCGTTTTCTCATAGTCCACACACTGATTTTCATTGAAAATTGAGTGCATTGATTGTTAGCAACAAAACTGTGCAGCTGATGTTGTCTGAGCTCGTGTCCCAAGCCAGTTTGTGGACCAAGTCATTAGTAAGAGAAAAATATTACTTTCATGGCCTAACTATGAAAAAGATGTTTTCAGTTTCGTCATGTACCTTGAAGACTCAAAGATTTCCACAAGTTGTTTGACATTACAGTGGAATCTGTCAATGCATGCAATTCCTGTGTTACTAATCGTTAACAAGCTGCCACATCTGAGCAGTATCACCTAACATGTGTTTCAAAAAATCTAGAAGATGACTCCTCTCTAAAATGTGAATTTTGGTGAGGAAGATTATCAGGGTTGGATCACTTCACATTTACAATTTTAAATAGTTCCAAACCACCGTGAACAGCGTCAAACTGTGTAAGAAAATGCACACAGCATCTGCTCTCGAGAAAATTTCCTGACAACAGCAGCATTCAACTTTTCAAACAAGCATGCATCTCTCAACTATTCTACAAGTATTATCAACACCTGTAGGTACCCACGGAAAGCAATTTCCAAGACGAGCCTAAGAATGGACATAAAATTGTAGCAAGAATGCCGATGGTTTCTTTTTTTCTTTTTTTTTGAGGATAGTAAGTGTATGAACCTGCTTCCTGTATATGAGTCCCTCACGACTGTTAAACTAGAAAGTTGACACTTCAACTTTGACTAACTGACGAACCGACTTTTCAACTATGATTGGGCATCTTCCAAAATTGCGTCACCCTCAGTTCACCACACTATTCACCAAATTAATTTTAATAAATTACTTTTTCTGGAACCACACGTCGTCATCGATCTCTTCATTGAGTGCAGATTCCACAACAAAGGAAACCGAATCAAGACGAGCAAAATTTCCGTGACAACGGCACGGTTTCAACTAGTCAAGAAACAAAAGATGATCTAGAGAGGAACAAGTTGAACCTACACAACCAACACACGGTATTCAAAACTATACTCAGGATCAAATAATTATTTTACTGCGTACCTCTCCAACTAAATCTGAATATTACAACCAATGGTAAAACATGCAACATGTTTTCTTTGAAGCAGCGAACCTGGACTTGTGTTCAATCAGTTGTGCAGCCTTCGCAATGGAAGGTTGAGATGGCCGGATGATTTGACTGGAAACTGATCCTCACAGTTCCACGTTTCCGTCCTTTTCCGAAGATTGGGCATTCATGGGTGCTGCCCTTTATGTCAAGCAGAATTTTTGCAACAGGGGTCATCGTCCGTCACTCTCCATCAGAAACCCACTGTGCTTCGGTATTTTCTGCAACGTGAAAAGTGATTCCAAAATCAGATCTACCCAACTGATTTTGAGAACTTGAGGTGCTTTCAGTGCGATTGTGCGGAGAATCTAGACCTCCGTGGCTTGCTGTGTTACTGTGCCCTCCTAAACAAATTTGCAAAATTTTCAACAGGTTATAATAATTATGTGTTGAGAGGACTTTTGCAAGGTAACTTTTTTGATGTGGGTTGCTCTTCACAAGAGCCGGGATGGAAGATTTGTACCAGGGAAAGCAGAAAATGAGGTTCTGAAATGGAGTATTTTAGGGGTTGTTGTAATATAGTTACTAACACACTTATTGGCCTTTTTTTTTACCAAAATTGCTCATTTTCATTAAAATTGTGTGATTAGGAGTTTGACAAGACTAGTTCACACAAAATTAGAGCTTTTTAAAGGTTATAAATTACACATGTTTAATATGATATTGCATTGATGTTGTGTAGGGTTTTTGGAATTTATGCCATGTATGAGAGTTAAATTAGAGAATGTTATAACAAAAATGCAAGATTATATAAGGGAATTAGCAAGAATAATATAGGAACTTCAATTTATAGCTCTATTTATCAATTATATTATTTTTCAAGAATATAAGTAGCATTATTTTTTAAACAAATCTGTT